AAAAGCTAATTTGATCGTTTTTTGATAGTTGGTGGACTTAATTGACTCGGAAAAAAGTACATGGACTCAATTGACTTTTTGTTAGAAGTACGTTGACCTATTTGACAGTTTATTATTCCATCTGTCTCTTAAAACTTTGACATCTTTCCTTTTTGAAACGTACCAAAAAACTCTGTCACTTTCCTTTTAATCAATTATTTTGTGGTTTATGTTATTTCTCTCTCCTCTGCACGAATCTCAACCACACAGTTTTTATTTTATTATTTTCTGTGCCGATCCACTTTGACAAAGTTTTAAGGGACGGATGTAGTATTTAATTTCATTGTGCTTCAGACTTCAAATTTCTTATTTAGTGATCACTATTCCTACCATGTGATATGCCTATATGAGAAGGTACCAAAGTATTCAAGTATCTCTCTAGAACATGATTAAAAATCGATCTGATAAGAGTAAAATTTGTCGAATCCATTGAAACTCATTTAACTGTTACTCAAGTGATTGAGTTGTATGAATCCGTTGAATTATGGAATTTTTTTATTTAAAATGTACTCCGTATCTATCATTATATAAAAGCAAAATGTTTTGGTGAATTGTCTTCCCGCTTAGAAATGTCAACATCAAAAAACAGTGCAATCCCACAAAGAACAGCTAACAAAGAAAAAATATTGCTTGAGAAAAAAAGTAAAAAGAATTCAATCCGAAAAGAATTCTTGGTAGTTGGTACGCATGATGCATCAATAGTATACCCACCCAAGTATCCTTAGGAAAGAGAGTCCATGACTGAAAATTAAAAAAATATCTCTACTAGAAACTTGCACAACATTAATAGATGATGGAAATTGTGAACAGTTCCGATTTGATATTACATACATTAGTTGACAATTCAATGAAAGGGTTGGGATTCAGACGAAAAGGTCTTTTCGAGATTCTCGGTAGACGTGATGATATGAAAAGATAAACAGTGAAAAGATGAGCATGCGTGCTTGGGCTTTGGGGCATGTGTACGTGACATTTCAACATATCAATTATGGCCAGCCTGTTTCATGGGGCCCTCAATTCTAGCCGCCCGTCTGTGTCATGGGACCCTCAATCCTAGCTAGCCTGTTTCTTGTGGAAGTATTTTCCCTATAAATACTTGAACCCTCATCTCAAATCAACACTCTCAGTTGTTTGCCTCTTCTATTTTATTTAAGTTTTGAGCCTACAATGAGCAAGAGTATCATATTATATACGAGCGTATATGAAAGGAAAGCAATTAACGAAAGGAGAAAAGCAAAAGAGCACACAACTTCAGAAGTACAAGCAAAAGATGTAAAAAGCATCGACCTGGTGCAAGTTCTTTGATTTTGCAAAGAAGCAATCATCTATGAAGCTAGAACATCAGTATATATATACATATAGGCAGTATATATATACATGTATGTACATAAAATATATATTTACACATGTATATGCATACATTTAGAAGTACGAGCCTAATAAAAAAACAGAACTGCTGCAAGTTTTTTTATTTTACAAAGATGGAAGCATCTATTCAGCAATAGGTCTCTCCACGGCTAATCCCTAATGATGATATGCAGCTCATGCAAAATCAAAAACTTCTATCCTAAACTAAATTTTTAATTTACTAATAATACAATTGATTAAAACTTGTAATAAAATGATTTTCCAAGCATATTTTATTAGTTTTATAAATTATAACTAATACTCCTTGAAAGAACTTTCCTTGAATATAGTTATATACTAATTAATATTCAAGTTTGCTGATTTCAGAAGATTTCCTATCAAAGTTTGCTGATTTCAGAAGATTTCCTGGAGTAAGAAGGTAGTCCACTCTATATCTTGAAAATATAGCAAGTTTGCAGATTTCAGAAGATTTCCTATCAAAGTCATTTGTTGGCAATACATGATCAAAAACAATTTGAAGTTGAACTGCTGAATCCATTTAAAGTATTTATTAATTGGTTGTTGAGAAAATAAAAAAGTTTACATGTAAACTGATGAAATCAGAAGTTTTTTTTATGACATGAAGTTCAATTAAACAGTACATCCTCTTCATTTGAACCAAGCTTTCCAATGAAATAGAGTTGTGTGAATGGCCTTTTAGTAGATGCATTTATCAGTTAACGTGCGTGATAAAAGAAGGAAAGAGGAAAACAGTGAAAGAAAAACCTCAAATCCATATACAAAAACATCAACCACATGTTACTTTGCATTACTCCATTCAAATCAAGTTCTTCTCAACAGTTTCACTTAAAATTAATTACAGAACTAAAATGCTAATTGTCTACAAATACCAAACAATGATAGTTTTACCTAAGCGAGTTATCTTAAAATCAAAAGTAGATGAATGAACTACTAGAAAGTCCATCTTTGCTTACTTGCATTGCATGTCCCATGTCCATCAAATGCTCTTAAGTCATCAACATTATTACCATGTTCAAAAACATTATAGAACCTGCAAAAAAGACAATATAACATGTTAAATGTCCAAACCTTGAATGCCAACTTGGAAGGAGGAATGTAGTTTTTGTTACCTGTAATGAAATTAAAATATATATCTCCTTTGTATGCTCGGGCCCAGACCCTTGGTTTACTTATAGAACTAAGATTTAACCAGTTTAGAAAAACCAAAGTACAGGCAATTTTTAAGCAGGGTTTTAATTAGCTTTGATAGTGAACACAATTTCCAATAGTGTGAATAAGCTGTTGGGATAGGGTATAATTTGACCCAAAATAACTTCCGTGAATAATTGAAATTGAGATTAAACAAATATGACCTTGCGAATATAATACTCTATCAAAATTATTATCGAAGCATTTGTTCTAGAAATCACCTATGTCAAATGTACCAGTTCAGAAATCAAACACGCATTTATCATTTTGGATGACAAAAAACACAAACATATGCAACTTTCTTTAGTGCTCTTAGAAGTTTTCTCAAATGATTCTTCACGGTCAAAAACGTTTTTATATAGCAAGTTAGTGTATCTAATGCTCCAAAAAGCTCAGAATTAGTCCTATTATAACAAATCTAAGAAACATGTATTTGAGTTTATTAAAAAAAATCAAACTCGCCATATATGTGAACCTCCAGACCAACTAGACAGGCTTTTTTAAAAATTGATTCACCATAGTTAATCATAATTAGTGTTCGAACTCATAATTTATGGATGAAAACACATACGAACCAATACCTATGATAAACTGAGGATGCTTCCCTTCATGACCACATACGAGCGACAATGTACCCGAACCAGCAAAAATGGGCTACTGCAAGGATCTCCAGGGGTCCTCCCTCTTCCGAGACATAGGCTGACCATCGTCGAATCTCAGATCTAAATACTACCACGGAATCGTCACTCCGAGGAATTTAAACGCTCCACTCTCAAAGGAAGAAAATTGGGCACGCCACTCTCTCAAAAGAACAATCTGGACATTAGGGCAAGAGCTAGGATTGATTTAGTTCGGACATGTTATTCGAGATCCTTGGACGCATGTTTTCTTTGTTGGGCCACTGACGGCCCAAACATTTACCATAAAAATTAATTCGTACGTGTTTTCAAAATTTAAGAGGTCGTTTGATAGTATTGTTTTTCGGCTTATCAGGCTTATCAGCCAAATTTTTCATTAAACATGTAACTTTTGTTTTCACGCGTTGAATTATGTAATAATAAGAAAAAGTTAGGTTGGAGTTACTTTTCTGACTGTATAGACCGAAGTTATTGTATATTACCATTTTAGTTATTTTTACATATAATTTTTTCTTTATTTTATTGATAAAATATATTTTAAAAATAATTTTCTCTTAAATCAGCAAAATCTGCCAATGCAGACACTTCAGCCAAAACTTCATAAATTTCAGCAGAATCAGCCGAATCACCCGATTTTCATGTTACCAAATGGTCTCTAAATGTGTTGATCGAACGCATAATTTCATAGTGTCGGCCATAAATTTTGTGACAAAATTAATAAGAGCCCGTTTAGTGACAATGAAATTGGCTGAATCGGTTCATATGAAAGTATGACTGAAATGACTGGATGAGCTGCTTTTGCTGAATTATGAAAAATTATATTTTAAGCATATTTTATTTATAAAACAAAGAAAAACTTACATGAGAAATAGCTAAAATGGTGTTCTACAGTAGTTTCAGCCAATTCAGTAAAAAAAAGTAACTTCAACCTTATTTATTTTGATATATTAAAATTTCAAATCAGGAATTTAAAATTGTTATTTAAATATAGGTATTGGGGTCATAACAAATTAACTAAATGTTATGTAGTTTTACTACAATTCTATGTAAAACCGTTCATCAAATAAGGTTATTGTGCATTATATTGACAATTTGGACGGATGAGATTAATTCTTTATCACATCGTAGAGGGTGAAATCCTAAGTGGTATACATTCATGAATATATTTTCATATCAAGGCTCTTCTTAACACCTTTTGATGCCATACTTCATTTATGATTTCAAAAGCAGCAATATCTATTAATGAAAGTCACATTCAATGTCAGACTTTGAATTATTAAACGTTGTTGTCTTTGTTCAAATTGTGACGTTCTCATAATACTTTGTCTGATTCTGATATAATGTGAGATGAGATCTTGAGAGTTGTCTTTGTTCACAGACGTTTTCATAACATGTAATCTTCATCCAATTGCATGAATTATGACTTCACAATTAACTCTAATATAATTTGTCAACAACAAAAAAACGCATATCGCAATTTTACATACACATTAAATAGTTCTTATACTTTTTAAGCAGGCTCATTATCAAATTTTACTTATCACAACGATAGCATATCCCATTTTCACATATACATGCACTCTTACAATTAAAAAAACAACATATTTATTTTCAAACAACATTCACTCGCCGTGCATCACGCGCGGTTATACTAGTTTTATTAATAATATAAGGAATAAATTATATGAAAAAAAAAGCAAAAATAGCTTTGAATATACACACATGATGAATGAATTTTATGTGGATAAAATATTTAGAGTGACAGCTTGGATCTCTAGGTAGCGGGAGGTTTTCTCAGTCGTTTCGTTTTTCTCTGCGTCGGCGTTTGGATTTGGGTCGGATTTGTTTGGGATTTCAAGTATGATTTCGGATCCGAGATTGGTCCACTACGCCTGCGTTGCCAAAGACGCCACCGTGGTCGCCGAGTTGAACTCGAATGACGCCGATCTCGGAGCTCTGGCGGTCGGATGTCTCGAGAAAACGCCGCCGTTTCATTCAATTTACACGCACACCGTCCGCCGGCGCACGTACACCTTCCTGATTGAGAGCCCGTTCGTCTACTTCGCGGTTTTCGACGAGAAGCTGGATAAATACGACGGCGTGGACTTCCTCAAGGCCGTCAAGGAGGGCTTCGAAGCCTTCGTCGGGGGGAGATCGGCGAAGAAGTGCGACTCGCATTGTTTCCAGGGAGAATTCAATCCGGTTTTCCATAACCTGCTCGCTTCGATGGCGGAAACTGAGGAGCCTCCTCCGCTTTCGCCGAGGCAAATGAGCCACGAGAGCAGCGGCAGTATGGAATCTCTTTGCGGGTACAGAACTGGCACGACGCCATTGTTCAACGAGACTACAAATTACTTGAAGAAGAAGAAAAAGAAGAGGCTTCTGGATGGGGAGAACGATGATGCCTCAGAATTGAGGCGGGAGTTCTCGGTGCCAATGCACAAAAACGCCGCGTTTTCAGGCGAATTGGGGCACCAGAGGGCGAAGAGAGTTTGGAAGAGACATGTGTGGGTGGTTCTGGCGGTGGACCTGATCGTCTGCATCATTTTATTCATAATCTGGCTTTGGGTTTGCAGGGGTTTGAAGTGCATCGATGGTTGAACATATTTTTGATTGATCTCAATCGTTTTTTTCATCTTGCATTGGTTGAACATGATTTTTTCCAATGCAGAGAGTTGTGTTTGCTGAATCTTGATGGATTACCCCCATACAACCTTTTTCTTATATGATGCTGGATCTTGTGACTTGTGAGCACATATAATTGGATTTATTATATGTAATATCATCATCATTGAGACTGCAGTTGCAGATCTATGTAATTGTAATTCCACATTGTATGAACTTAATTTAATGACACTTTTGAGTGCAAAATATATATATATATATATATATATATATATATATATATATATATATATATATATATATATATATATATATATATATATATATATATATATATATATATATATATATATATATATTTAGAGTGATGGATGGATGAGGGTGGACCTCCACCCGACCTAAATCTGACTCATTTCTGTAAAAAAATATTGGACCAGGATAGGATCAGCCGGTCAACCGGAATCGAATTTACCAGTGCCGGTCTTGAGTCAACCTCCCCTCTCCCGGGACCGAATTCATCCCGGAACCAGACCGCATCCACCCATAGTTGAGGCCCATGTTTAGAGTATATCCCGTATAATACTACTCATTGTGTGATGCAAACCTTTTGAAGTCTTCTATTTTCATTCAAAAAAAGACTTTTTTTTATAAAAGTAGTTCATAAATTAAAAGTAATGACAAAATTATATGTTTACATACCATAAAACAAAAACATATAACCAAATACTTTATTTGGCATTTCAATCGGGATGCACATCTACTTTGATATGATAACTGAAATTACGACTAAAGAAATTTTTTTAAAAAGTAAATTTAAAAAAATGTCATTTTAATTAGGGTAAAGGGTCAATAGGGCAATGTATCGGTCCAGATCGGGTCAAATAAGGCAATAAACCCTTGAATGTGACCGAATTATTCATTTTTGTCTCAATCCTTAAAAAGTGTCAAAGTCGTAATGAATTGAAATTATAGGATCTAGTCCATAGGTCCTATAGAAATATATCGGGCTCAATCGGTACAAGATTGGAATTGGCCATGAATCGGGACTGATCCACTCCTATATACTCCCTCTGTCCCATAAAATAGTTCCCGTATTGACTTGGATCAAGTTTAAGAAAGTGAGAATAAAGTGGAAATGTATGATTGTGGTTGTGTAACAAAAAAGTAAATGAATGTGAGCCAAACAAAACATTCCAAAATAGAAAATGAGAACTATTTTTTAGGACGATCCAAAAAGAAAACCGGGAACTATTTTGCGAGACGGAGGGAGTACTAGTTATGCTAAGACACATTTTACAATCACAAATTCATTATGCCCAAGTTCAGGGAAACTATTCATGCACATGTTTTGCACTCCTTACATTTTGTTGGTGTATATGTATATTACGGAGTAGTATATACTACGTACAATTATCTAGAATATGGATCGAGACAAAGGGGATTTCCCCCAAGTTTAAGGATTACAACATTTAGGTCAACGTCTCATGTTACTTGACCCCTTTTCTTTACAGGTAGGAATAAATTCATCAACCTTCTTTATAAATAAATCACAGTATATACTACCTACAATTTATCTAGAATATGGATCGAGACAAAGGGGATTTCCCCCAAGTTTATGGATTATAGCATTTAGGTCAACGTCTCATATTACTTGACCCCTTTTCTTTACAGGTAGGAATAAATTCATCAACCTTCTTTATTAATAAATCACAGTATATACTACGTACAATTTATCTAGAATATGGATCGAGACAAAGGGGATTTCCCCCAAGTTTAAGGATCATAGCATTTAGGTCAACGTCTCATATTACTTGACCCCTTTTCTTTACAGGTAGGAATAAATTCATCAACCTTCTTTATAAATAAATCACAGTATATACTACGTACAATTTATCTAGAATATGGATCAAGACAAAGGGGATTTCCCCCGAGTTTAAGGATTATAGCATTTAGGTCAATGTCTCATATTACCTGACCCCTTTTCTTTACAGGAAGGAATAAATTCATCAACCATCTTTATAAATAAATCACAGTACTTCAATTGAGAAAGGCCAAAATATTACTCCGTATGGTGAATTAATCCTTCGTACTTTTATCATCAACACGAACAGAAATCTACATCTATTCGCCTTATAGCCTGAGATGCTAACTCCACTGTATCAAATCAGAACTTGGCGATATATTCTTGAGGAACACCCCTTTACAAACCATTGCCGTGATCTTTTTTGTTTGGTAGTGTAATTTGAATTAGTGAGCACAAATTAATTTGAAAGAAAAATTCTCCGACCGTATATCGCGCGGATGAGTTTACTAGTGACCTTAGAAAAGTAGAACATACCAACCGCAAGTCCCAACACAAGCAGTTCCCCATATATGGAGGCTTTGCATATTATCTTCTTCGCTGACCAACTCCTTTCGAAGGGAGACCAGAAGGTGCTTCTCCTTTTAATATAACTGCCGACCGCAAGTCCTAGCTCAGGCAGTTCTCCGTATATATGGAGGCTTTGCGTATTCTCTCCTTCGTTACCTCCCAGAGTTCACCAGATAGTGCACCACACGGATTAGGAAGACCGCCATTAAAAACCTTCGACTGTGCGTCAGAATCCTGACCAGCTCCTTTCAATGGGAGCCCAGGAGGTGCTTCTCCTTTTAATACATCCGCCCTTGATAGAAAAGCTTTAGTAAGATTGATGAGTTTCTGGCTGGGTGTGAGTAATCCTCCAAGCAACATCGATACTTTCTCTCAACTTTCATGGCCATATCTGCCAGGCATTCCTTTTGCCGAGTACCATAAGACCTTGGAAGATGAAGAAGATGAAGAAGTAGACACCTCAACGGTTGCTAGCTTCTGTGGGTTGATTGTTGATTCGTTGAATGCGGTTGCAGCACTAAACAAGTTGCGCGAGAAGAGGATAGGAGACAAATGATGAATACGTGCGATAGAAGTTTTTTACCGTGACTTGTAGGGGTTTAACATGAGTTTAAGTTGTTTTGACCTATTATTTGAATGGCACCAAATCCCCCACCATTGACGTGATCTTTGAATAGGAGACAAAAGTTCAGGAATAGATTTTCAACAGGTTGTTCAACTGTTTTTTCACAAATGTGGGAATTTCATTCAATATGTTGCCATGTTGTGCATACCACCCTCTCACGGGAAATGTTTAATATGAAACCGTAATTTACCCCTTCATAATTATGTCGAGTGCACAGTTCAATATGAGGATATCCCGGGTGCACGATTCCACCTTTTGAGTTGAATAGGGGGTCACAGTTTAGCAACAGGGGCCAAGGTTAAATATTATTAGAGCGGCTGAATCTGTCATGGCCTCTCCAACCTCCACCCCTAAGGTTAGTCTTGTGGTACTACAATAATTTGGGTTGGTGGATATAGTCCAATGGATGACCATCCACCCACAAGTCTCTCTTTTGTGGGAGGTCTTGGGTTCAATTCCCACCAGGGGAAGATGAAGGAAGTCTTGCTCCCAATGATTCTTCATACATTCACGGAGTTGCTCAGGGGCTGAGAAAGGAGAGGATGATAATGAAGATAGTGTGTTCGTGTGGTGGGAGACGCAGCCTGAAAGGTGATATAAGTCTTGTTGGATTCGTCCTTTGGAGCCAGTACTGACGAGGCTGACTGTGATCGGATCCGGATTTAACTGTCTAGGGGCTTTGGATTATGGGAGCGTAAGCCTCGACACCTTAATTATCAAAAAGAAAAAAGAAACATGACCAGTCCCACAACCACTAACAAAAGACACCTATTTACATATTTACCAAAAAGACCCTAAAAGACTATAACCATGTAGCAAATCACAAGGCAATGCAAATGAAAGCATGTAGATTTCTCAACTCTTCTCCTTCTTCCTTTCTCATAGAATCTAACAGCCTGTTTGGTTCTGCTTATTTTGCGAATTGCTTATCAGAAGAAGGAACAAAGGTAGTAGCTTTTGATTTACATATTTGACAAAAAGGGATTTTACCCAAATTCTTTCCATGAGAAAATTTTCAATACCTCAGCCATATCAGTCCAAAAACCCTGACCAAAGGGTTCTAAGTTTCCAACTCTTCTTTTCCCTTTCTGAGCAGTGAGCATCCCATTGGGTAACCTCACCCAAATGGGTCATAAGTTTCAATTCTACTCCTTACCTTTTCAAAATCTCATTCGTGCTGGCTTACCAAAAAAGTAATACCCCACTTGCTGCGGCAATTGCCTTCTCTCCAAATGAAGTTGGCAATACAGTTTCGCCTCTAGAGACTGGATTAGACTTCTAGAAGTGTTATGATACTGCAATGAACCTGAAGTATATAATTTATGTAATAGCCCATCATTATATCATTTTTTTGGGAAGAACATTATATTCCACAGTCCTACGAGTGTATAAATTAACAGATAAGAGATTTATAACGCATGAGATCACATAGTCCAGTGAGCATCTTTTGCAAGGGCTTGAGTGGATCCTATCATATTCCACAAAATACAAAAAACGAACCAATTGGGATTCACTAACAATTTGAAATGCAAATTAGGATGGGATCTTTATGGAGAATATATCAATAAAAATAAGCTTTAACTGCAACAAGTGAAAAACAGATACCAACGAATCTAGAAACCTTATGAACTAAGGACAGAGATTATTTCATCATTAGCATAAAGAATATGATGAAGAATATGTATCCTTAAGCAACTACCAATGAAGATGGCACCTTGTTCTTTCAAAACCACTGGCTGATATGCCAGATGATGTGCCATTGGAGATCAGGGGAACGTAGTTGAGATCGCAATCAATTGAGTACTTGATATTCTTAGATTTAATTAGCCAAAACTTCAGCCTGACTTTCAGATACAGCTTCAACTGAATCTCGAAACCCCCATTTTTCTTCTGATTGCTGTACTCTGAACTGTCCCCGAGCGGCAGCGGATTCTGGCCTTTAAACACTGATTGAAGATTCGAAGTGTTCTTAGTCTCTTGAAAGAACGGGTCTATATTCGCAACAGAGAATCTCTGGTTATCATACAGTGCCCTCACCTCGATACTGTCGTAGTAGACGCCGATTCTCTTGTTAGGGTTGCGAATTGACATATTCACGGCGAGATTGTAATTGAGGGTGTTCCTGGAGGCGGAGTAATCGAATTGGGTGAGAGAGGCGTTATCGACGTAAAATCGGAGGGCGTTGGGGCGGAAGATGAGCCAAAGAATGACGGCGATGATGGCGACAATGAAGAGGAGGGTGCATAAGATCTGGAAGATGCAGCTGATGAAGCAATTGAAGAGGCAGCCGTAGCAGCAGCCGCAAGGATTGCAGTCGCTTCCGCCTCCACGGCGTCCATGGCTGTAGGAGACCTTTGGTTTAGACATGGCTCAACACAGATCAGAAGCTTGGGTTGGGGCTGCTGTGATATATATCGAGAAATTCACTGGGAATGGGAATGGAGTACTAGTAGGGTTCTAGCCAGTAGCCCGCAGGAATGATAAAATTTTAAACGGTATGCGAAAAAGCAGGGCCACTACACCACGACAAATCAGAAATGGGAGAAATTTATTTAACGTTACACTTCTCATCGCCTCAATTTTATTCATTTTATGCATCAATTTTTTTTCTTAAATATAAACACTCTCTTTGCAATTTAAACTTTTCAGTTTTCATTTTGTCTCTTTCAAACTTTTTTATTTTAAAAACTAATTAGTACTATTAAAAGATGAATGAATTATCAAATATTAAAAATAATACACTTAATTATATCAATATATCATCAAGACCTCATAATGTTATATGTTACATTTAACACAAGTAGCTGAACAGATGTTTTAAAAGAAAAAAATAACTTATTTTTGCTAAGAGCTAACGAACTTTCTCGTTCAAAGAAAAATAATATTTACTTTTGAGAAAAACTTTTAAAAAAATTCGTGTCAAATATGCACATACACAAATCAAAATTACTTCTTAAAATATACTCTAACCACCCATAGGCAACCATCTTCAGCCCTACGTGCAGAAGGCAATTACATTTCATAATAAGAGATCCATCTGGGCTTCTATTGGGATACCCTCCAAAACTTTCAACAGCTAGAGTTGTAATTTTCACTTACTTTTCTTTCTCTATTGTTTTGTATTCTATCTTATAGCTTTCTTTAAATATTACGGAGTATTAATATATTTGGAAAGTGTTCTTTGACACTTTCCCCACCTTGAGTGATCTGCCCCAGGCCAAAAAAATACTCTAATTACCTTATTCAATTAATCTTTAAATAATTGTATCATTTTTTAATTATTAGCGTGATCAATTACGTTAATTATCATATCAGTATTAAGATAGAGAATGGCTTCAGTGAGTCAAACACCAAACTCACACTTGTTTAGCATGTTTTGATCCTAAAGATAAATTTATCAATTTTGTGAGTCAAAGCTACTGAACGATATAAAGTATTCGTGAAGTTTGTAAAAAGATGATGAGATTAAAGTTCACAATTGAAAGAGCCTGCTCTCTGACGAATATTATTAATATATGGTTATTAACCATGGTCTATGACCTCAAGGCAGCCATGAAAATGAGAGAGATCAAAAATATATCTTCAAAAATCACAATGAGAGCGTGTACAAATACATAGACGAGAGAGAAAATCTGAACATGCTAGCTGCGGATGATCGGTTCATTAGTGTGTGAGTACTGGTCGAGCTTAGTAATATTTTGTAGGGAATTTCCACCTTCTTTCTTGGAAGTTGCCAAGAGACATCTCACACCTTCTTGGAAGGAGCTCTCCAACATATGAACATGAAAGAAGATATGGAGATAACTATGGAAGCTTGAATGCAACTTCCTCTTGTCTCCAAACTAGCCTATAAATAGAGTGTTCTATTGTTGTTCATATCATCAGTTTTAGAAACTGAGAAAAGTGTGTGAAGAGTGAAATACACTTAGAGTAGAAGTGTATTGGTGAGGATTGGTTTTTGTAATAGTTGAGTGTGAGAGTTTGCTCCTCCTATTGTAATTCTGTTCTTGATATTGAATAGAAGAATTTTTCAATCCCAACAAGTGGTATCAGAGCGAGGTTGAGTTTCCATACACTGTTTTCTCATTTTCAGATAAATTTCTACAAGTTAGAAAATCGTGATTTTTGAAGTTGTTCGGAATCACGGTCTAATCATACCGTTAGATTCGTCTCGTCGAGACGAGAAATCTGATATTTTTGGGGAATTTTTTTGGCCATTAGAAGAGTCCGTACGCGCCGCACAAACGACGCCGGAAAACTGCCTGCATCATCACTGCGTCATCACGCAGTCCAGAAGAAGAAGACGATCCACGTTAGCTGCCACGTCATCGCCACGTTGGACCACGTCAGCGAGACGTGGTACCGAGTCAGCCGCCACGTCATCCACCCGAGCCGTCCACTGTGAGCCACGTCAGATGCCACGTGGCTACACGTCATCGCCACTTCAGTGAGGGAGCAGAGCCACGTCATTCGCCTGCCGGGCTGCAGGCTGAACTGCTGCCTGAACCGGACCGAACCGGTTTGTAGTTGTAGAGGCCGGTTCACCCATTTCCAGACCGGTTTTGGACGAGGTCAGACCGGTTCCTACCATTTTCGGCCATTCCGAATCCAACAGGGAGCTCCGTTTGTGCAACTTCGGCTTCGAAAATAAGGTACAAGATATATTGAGTGTTTTATTATGGATAAATCATCATCGGACACCATGATTACACTCACTTCCACAAATTACAATATGTGGAAGCCTCGGATGGAGGATTTGCTAAATTTGAGGGATTTAGCCGATCCTCTCGATAATAATGGCGTGAAACCGGATAAAAAGACGGATGAAGAATGGACAAAAATGAATCGAAAACCTGTCGCACAAATTCGACAGTGGATAGATCATAATGTGTTTCACCATGTTGTGCAAGAACAAAGTGCTTACACACTATGGGAGAAGCTTGGTAGCATGTATCAAGCAAAAACCGCTTGAAATAAGACGTTACTAATGAGGCGATTAGTAAACCACAAATTGCGAGGTGGTATTTCGGTTTCAGAACACACCAGTCAATTTCAGGATCTTGTGAATCAATTGAGCACCACCGGATGGGTTCTCAAAGATGAAGAGCAGGCGATGTTACTCTTGAGCTCTCTACCTGATAGCTGGGAAACTCTTGTTGTCACTCTCAGCAATTCTGCTCCCAATGGCAAGGTGACTATGCAGATGGTCACAGATGCCCTTGTGAATGAAGAAGCCCGAAGGAAGGAAATCGGGACTGAACAATCATATGCCCTCATATCAGAAACTAACAAACGAGGGGGAGGCAGAAATGGAGGAAGAAGTCAGGGTCGAGGTAGAGGCCAAGGTCAAAATAGAGGAAACTCTCAAGTTCGCGGCAGATCACGAGAGAGAGGTATGTCCTTTGAAAACAATACTTGGTTTAAAGGATATTGCAATTATTGTAGTAATTATGGGCATAGAAAAAGAGATTGTAGAAAGTATCTACGAGAACAGCCACAGACGAGTCAAAATACTAGCCAAGAAGATGGTGCGACCATGGTTAGTTTATCATCAGACGTGTTACTTGTTACACATGGCGAACAAGAATGTTTACACGTAGGTACTCATGATGTTGAGTGGGTGGTTGATACAGCCGCATCATTTCACGCCACTCCACACCAGAAGTTATTCACATCTTATAAGTCCGGAGACTTTGGAGCTGTGAAGATGGGAAACACCAGTTTCTCAAAGATTGTTGGCATTGGTGATGTGCACATAACAACCAATGTCGGATGCGCACTTGTGTTGAAAGATGTTCGACACGTTCCGGATCTTAGATTGAATCTTATCTCCGGTACAGCTCTGGATCAGCAAGGATATCTTAACCGCTTCAAAGAAGGTACGTGGAAGCTATCTAAAGGTTCCTTGATTGTTGCAAGAAGCCATATTTGTGGTACTCTTTATAAAACCCATGCAAAGATATGTCATCCAAGTCTCAATGCTGTTGAAGAAAAGACATCACCAAACTTGTGGCACCGGAGGTTAGGCCACTTGAGTGTGAAGGGATTGACAACTCTTGCAAAGAAGGAAGCCATTTCCTTGGGCAGAGGTGTTTCCCTAGATCCATGCGAGCACTGTCTATTTGGGAAACAACACAGAGTTTCCTTCAGTTCTACTAGTAAGAACCATTCGTAGTTACACAGTCTTGTCCACTCACATGTATGTCGACCCATTGAAGTGGAGTCACTTGGAGGAAGCAGATATTTCATGACATTCATTGATGATGCATCACGAAAGGTATGGGCTTACTGTCTAAAGAGTAAGGATCAAGTGTTTGATCGTTTCAAATCATTTCATGCCATGGTAGAAAGAGAAACAGGGAAGAAGCTGAAGTGTCTACGTTCAGACAATGGAGGAGAGTACACTTCTAGGGAATTCTCAGCATATTGCGCCGCATATGGAATCATACATGAGAAGACGGTTCCACGAACTCCACAACACAATGGTGTAGCCTAAAGAATGAATAGAACCATTGTGGAGAAAGTTCGTTGCATGTTGAGTATGGCTAAACTACCGCAGCCATTCTGGGGTGAAGTTATGCTGACAGCTTGTTATCTTATAAACAGGTCACCTTCTGTTCCTTTAGCGGAACGCACAGCCTGGACTCCCAAAAAATAATGAAGATCTCCAAGATCTTTCATAGCAAAATGTTGAGCAACAATCTGAATAAACGATGTAATAGCAGCAGAAGAATTCCCAGTAATAATTATGTCATCGACATATAATAATAAATAGATGACAGTACTATCCTGGTGGTAAATAAATAATGAATTATCAGACTTGCTGCACGAAAAATAATGAGATAACAGAAAACTACTAAAACGATGAAACCATGCCCGCGGGGCTTGCTTAAGGCCATAAATGGCTTTTCGCAATCTACATAGGTGATTAGGAAACAAAGGATGAGTGAAACCCCGCGGCTGACGCATATAGACTTCCTCTGTGAGGTTACCATGCAAAAAGGCATTTTTGATATCTAATTGACGGATGATCCACCCAAAAAAAATAGCTAATGTAAGGACAATACGAACAATGGTGGGTTTAATGACTGGGCTAAAAGTCTCAGAAAAATCTACACCTGCTTGTTGATTAAATCCTTGAGCCACCAACCGTGCTTTATGGCGCTCAATGGACCCATCTGAATTATATTTAGTCTTAAAAATCCACTTAGAGCCCACAACATTTTTAGAATTATCAAACGGTACCAAGTCCCACGTATTATTAGAAATAAGTGCATTAAATTCCTCAGCCATTGCCGCACGCCATTTTAACTGTTTATTAGCCTCGGAAAAACATGTAGGATCAGCTGATACAACAACAGTGTTTAAATTAAATATGGGTTTTGGTTTTAAAATCCCTGACTTCCCCCTCATCTGCATGGGATGAGTATTAATGGTGTTGTCGTGACTAACGGTGGATGAAGGCACGATTTCGGTTGTTATAGCAGACGACGAGTGGTCGGTGGGGGCTGAAATAGTGGCGTCGGTTATGGGAAGAGTAGGGTTTACAAATGGGGAATTGGGAGTTTGGTCTGGAGCAG